TACAGGGTTTCCTCCTATGGTAAACAAAAATTTCCATGTATTAAAAGTGAAAACTGAAAAAAATATTTACAAAATTTTATGAAAATTTCCAATAAATAAACAAAATAATTCAAATTAAATAAATTCAATCCATAAAAAAATTCAATCCTCCATGATACTTTTTTTGGTAAAATTTTTTTTTTTTTTTTTAAACGAATAACCCTTGTCGATACAACACCGGGATGTTCTTAGTTCTTTTGCATATAACTCCATTCTGCATTAAAATATTCTGATAATGTGACAAAAATTTGTAATAGTGTTGAGTATATTTGTCATGATGTTAGTTTAATTATTATTATTTTAGTGTTTAAACCAGGCTTTTTAGTGCATCTCACAGCTGCGGAAATAAATATTTCAACGATTCAGAAATTAGTTTAGTACTATATTTAAAACCGCAATAATTTAGTTTGAATCTGTGTCAATCTCTCATGAAATCTGCAAAATGTTTCATAAGTTCGCATACAATAATTTAGGGAAACCTTTGTTTAAGAACTTTCTTTTGATTTGAAATCGGAGACTAGCTTACATTGTTCAGTTTTAATTGAGTTTTCAACTACAATCTAATTACTATTTAAAAATTGTATGAGTACATAGCTATTTTGGTTTTTGCGTTGTGATCGTTTAATTTTATTATTTTGATTTGTTTTTTATAAGAAACTTGTGCATTTTTTACTATTTAGAGCTTATAAGTTGCATATTGTAAAGTTTTAAGACAATTATGTATTTTTTTTCTCTAAAAATCGTGCGATTTTCAGCTTTCGTTAGTTTCTTCATTGCATTGCATTTATATTGCTTCTGATTATTATTCATATTAGTAATTGTACATATATATGAACGTTTGGTAAACATATATATATATATATATATATATATGCTCATATATGTATGTATGTATGTATATCTACAAATGTACTGTGTATGCATTAACATAAGTGTATTTTAAAATTTTAACCTGTTTTCTATGCGATGTTTGCGTTTAAATATATATGTACGTACGTACATATGTATGTATGCACTTAAATACAAGTATATATGCTTATTAATGGTTTTTAATATTTTTGTTTTTGTTGTATTTAGTTGTCACATTAGTAACTCGGCGTTGTTTCCCCATTAGAAGTGGCCTCTTCAGTGGTTGCTTGGGTACATATCGGTAGATATTTCATATGCACTTGCGTACAAATCGGTTTTTCACCTATTCTCGTATGTAAGACTGTAGTTTATGCGCTTCATTACAAGTTTCAATTGAAGGCAAAAAGGTAGAATAGCGTCTGACACATGTATGTACATACATATGTCTAGCTGCGTAGTTCTTTTTGCAGTTTTGGGTGGGTATCCAGTGAACTCATGCTTTTTCTTAGCAAAATTACTTTCAATGCATATAACGGTATTTCTTCTACATACTTATGCAAATATATGCGATGTAATGTAAGTCCAACTTTTGTGTTTTTGTTGTTGTAATGCACTTGTTTATATTGAAAAAATATTTGTTTCGCATTATTTTTTTTTTGTTTTGTTTTCATCATCATATTTTAATTTATTTATGAAATACCCTGCAACTTCAGTTAATATCACAGATTTAATAGATAATTTTTATTTAATTTAAATGAAAAATAAATCGAAAATGATTATATTTTTCATATGTACATACATACACACATGTCGCACTGAAAGCTTATTTCTGAGTTGTATGTATTGTTTATTATATTTACTTTTAGAAAATTTAAAAAACAATTTTCTTTCTGCATTTTTAATAAGTTTTTTTTTCCATAAGTAGTAAAATAAAAAACATTAAAACAAAAATGTTAATTTAAAATAAAGAATTTTTTAAAAAACTTTAAAAAAAAAATTTAAGTATAAAAAATTTTAATTAAAAAAAATTAATTTAAAAAAAAAAGTAATTAAAAACAAAATTAAAACGTAAGAAAACACTTTAAAAACATAAATAAAAAACGATGCAAACGAAATAAAAGAGATATGAAAAAAATTACTGAAAGTGTTTATAAACGAGCGTTTTTGTTTTTTTTTATATCATTTTATATTTAGTATTTAATTTTATTTAAAGTTTTAGTATATCAGTGCTAAGCAACTGAAAAAACTTGAATCTTACAAAAATTAGTTGATCGGTTGTGCTTCAGACTTCATTAACACATTTTTGCAAAAGAATTTTCAAACGGCATCATTTCTGAAGCACTGTTAACATCTTGAAAATATAAACTACTGTAATAAAATCTTGTTAAAAAATATTTACTTTAGCTCATAAATAAGAAATTTTACTTCAATCCTCTAATAAAACTTTCCAAAACAAAATTTTTAAACTGAAACTTCAAATTCAAAAATAAAGTATTTAATTAATAACCAAAGCTTCGTCTTCTGTAAACTAAGAGTGGAATGAAAATAAAACAATTTTTCTATTTTATAATTTTTTTGTTTATGTTATAAAATTTTTTAATTGAACATTTTTACAAACTCATTAAATTGTGTTTCACAAGTTCATACAATTCTTTACAGTTGGTTTAAAGGCTAAATTTTAAAATTAATTACTTTTTTTAATTTTATTTTTTTGCTGCTTTGCTTTGAGTCGCTAATTTAAAGCTAATAATTGAATGAAAAGATCGTCACTTAACATGCATATAAGTATGTAAGTTGAAACTATTGTCAAAAACCATTTTGTTGTATTATTACAGAGTTGCATGGAAGTAATAAGCACTCAGAATGCATCTCTTTTTAAGTTTTTACGCATAGGTCTACAGTTTAGTTTAAGTTTGTATGCGTCTGAACTGAGCAGTTAAAATTAGAAATTATCATTGAAAACCAAAAAGTATATATTCACAAACCATTGTAATTATAATGCGACTGCGTTAATAATTTTTCATTTCATTTATTTATTGATATTTATTTCTGTATTTTATTTATTTATTTATTTACTTGTTACGTGATGTTCTATGCTTTATTATTACTTGGGGGGAAGAAATTTCAAACAGTTATACCGTTTTACAACAATACTTGAATATTCAACGCATAAATATATAAACATAGTTTAATTTTTTTTATTTTTTTCATTGTCTAAAGTACAAACAAATAATACATAGTTATATAATGAGTATAAGAGGATAACACATTGCATATAGGGCATCATGGCATTTCATGTATGTATGTATATATATACATATGTATGTATCTATTTATAATTACGAAAAATACATATGTATTTATTTGGAACACTTTGCGTTTACAGCAGGAATTAGAGAAGAGAATGATGAGTAAGAAGAAAACACATATTTTACACGCACCTCCATTAAACACATTTATATATATGTGCATGTTTGTATATATATATATTTAAATAAAAAAGTTAGTTGCCAGTGAAAAATATACGCTAGCATTAGCACTTAAGGGCAAGTAAATAACGAAAGAAAATGTCTTCTGCGGAAGGTCTTTCAGTGAGCCTTTATGATTATTTTAAATTTAATATTATTTTATTTTTATTTTTTTAATAATATTTTAATTTCTTGTGTTAAATAAATTCTATAATAATATTAACTGATTTGTATTATTACTTAAATTGCATTTGAATGTGGTGATTTTGTACTTTTTGACAAACTTTTTTTCGTTTCATATAAACATTCTCGTAATTCATAAGCATATACAATACATACATAAATGATTTCAAAATTCGTTTGGAAAAGTCAACGCTTCCATTTGGCGACAGGGAAAATGCACGCAGATTTGGTTTGGCTGTCTCGAAGGGTTAATATTAGGTAAATATATAAAATTGTGCAACGAATGCAAGCCAAGAAAAAAAAATATATAGATTCGCTTGCAAGCCATAGCGGCTTTTGGAAATAAATATGCATGTACTTGAATATGTTTGGCAAAATATTATTTGTGTAGTTACGCTCACTGTGCACGTTATATGTCTTTTTGGTTTGACAATTAATGAAGTATTTTTTTAAGTAATAAATTTTTGATTACAAATTTGATATGAAGGCTTACAAATCGACATATGCGTTTATGCAAAGTTGCCTTTCTGTCACAGACAGTTAACATTTCATGCACAGCGCTCGTTATATTTATAAAGTTCAAACAATATTAAGTGAATAGCAAAAAAAAGTAACAAATATGTGCACATATTCAACTGGCTGCTTAAAAGAATTGCGTTATGTCGCCAATTTTTTTAACGTAAATAATTATAATTTTTTAATCTCAATCTGAATTTTACTTTGCGATTTTTGGCTAAATACAAATACATATGTAATAATGTTTAAGCAAATTAAAATACATAGTTTGGCATTTAAGTATTTTCGTGACCTTTATACTTGTTTTACATGTCTTAGTTTTCGTTTTAAATTTTTATTTTTTTTTATAAGTTTATTTTTTATATATAATTTTTTTTTTATATTTTTTTTTTGTATTTCAAAATCTAATTTAACAATATTTTTTGTTTTTTTGTTCTATAAAATATTTTTTGTTTTTATTTACTTAATTTTTGCACTTGGTTCATTTGCTTTAAAGTATACAAATAGTGAATAGTATGTATGCATGTACTATGATAAAAGCATAAGATATATAAGGTTTAGTAAAATAGCACATTTGAAAGAATACAATTCTTGTTAAAATAGTGATAGTGTAGATAATAAAATGTAAGAAGAACGTAACTAGATAATTGGCATAAAGAGCGAGGGTGTGTGGTCTCTGCATGTGTGTGTGTGTGTGTGTTTGTATAAGTGTACTAGGCGTGAGTGGCTTAGCTAATTTTTTTTTCCGTTTTTTTTTTAATATTTTCTTATTTTCATAGGCTTTTCTTAAGCACTTTTCTTATGTGTTGCTTTAAAGTTTATTTCATAAATTGTTTTATTCATATGTATGCAGTTATCATATGGTAGTCTGTACGTTTTGAGCAGTCCGTTCGTTGTTTGTCCTTTATTGTTTTATATTTCTTAAGTAACTAGATTTTGCTGCAGTAATAGTACATACATTGATTCATTTGGGCGGGTAAGTTTTTTTTTTTATTTTTTTATTTTTTTTTTAATTTGGTGTTGATTCCACTATACTTATAATAGTAACGACACAACAACATTTTTCAAGTGCACTCAAGGTGTATGCAGTAGTTATAAAGCGCATTCATACTAAATTCCCTTAGCATATATAATTTATGCTGTAAAGAAAAATTAAAAAAAAAAAAAAATTACAAATTTTTGTACAACTTTACTCAAGTCAGTTTCCATTACAATTTCGTTTAAAGCTCTTTGTTTTCTAAAAGAAAATACACATACCAGTCTATATATTTTAACATTTTTTATGGCCAATTATTTATCATTGTTATTTTTTATATACACAAAACAAACAAAACGCTTGTAATATACTTAATTTTGTAGGCCTAATCAATATTTATTGTAGCATGCAACATACTAATATTATTTGCCATTAAAAGCACACACATACTTGTTTCTAAACATTGTTTGTGTCATTTACCGTTTGTGCAATTCCAACGAAGCTCGTTATTTTAGCAACTAATTTTTAGGTTATGTTTTGTGTTATCTTACCAGCATAATACTTAGACAAATTATTATTATGGATTTACAATGCTTATTAATATTTATATCTACTGCACACAACCTCAACTTTTACTTGAATGTGCATACATACTATTTTTAGTCTCATCTTATGCAGAAAAAAAAATTAAGTAATATTTAGGTAAACAATACCATTACTAGTCATAATTGCACCAACGTACATATGATCGTTTATGTTTAGGTAAAAGTTTGTAAGTTCGTTATGATTTTTCGTTTTCATTACTGCTCCTTTACATAACCCCATTACATTGTTGTTTTTTTATTTTTGTTTTTGTAAATATTATAAAGTTTTTAGATCACCGCAGTTGATCGTTTCAAACGAACTCGTTGCGAAATGTACTATGTTTGTGTGGGTATGTTCAATTTTTTTCTTGATGAGAAGCTTGATTCCTTTCCGCACAGACGTTGCACAAGCGCTCAACTGTGAACTTTGACAGTGTTGTGGTTTTTCTTCGATTTTACTTTCACTACTACATATTTCAGTTTTTACAGGCGTACGGGTTAGTGTTTCTTTATTTCTCTTACATATGACTATTTATTTTTATTATTTTAAGAATACCTTTGTGCAGCGTCAATGTAGACGTACGTACATTTGCGTGCATGTTTTTTTTGAGTATGTTTATATGTATGTATGTATGTACGTTGATTGAATTAGTAAGTTTTAAGTTTATACATGGGCGGTACCTCAACCTTTGGCGTGAAGCGTCATTGGACGCATCAAAAGTTTATCAATTTGCTGCAGTATATTTGCATGTCTTTGAGCGATTTTTATTGTTGTTTATAATATATAGTATATATGCATATGTATAAGTTTATATATGTAAGTGGCTGCGTATACCACACGTACATATATACATATGTGTGTATGTGTTTGTGTGCCAGCACAATTTCATTTATGTTGTTGTTGGCGCAATTTCAACAGCATTACTAGTCGATGATGTCTTAGCCACCGCAGTGGCATTGCAACCCACATCAGCGATGGCGTCTAGAGATATGGAACTGTTTGTGCGTTTTGCATCGCTAATTGTAGCGGCAACTTGAACATTTTCACTGCCTGCATTATCATTTATGTGCGCCGCTGCAATTGTGCTGGAGTCATCATCATCAGTTTTGTTTCTGAAAACAGCGAATGCAAATAATTTATGTTAGACATCTTTGAAAACCAGCCGAGAGACAAAGCAGTAGTTCCAATTAATTTTAGCACCAGTGACAGACAACAAATACATATTATAGTAAAATACTAATTTGTAATCATAGCAATTTCTAAATGAAGGGAAAGTCCGCATTTTTTATTTTGCTTGTTTTTGAATTTCTTCAATGTATGTATATTTTAAATTGCCGCTCGATTTCCTTTAGCTCTTGAAGCTTAATTTAAGACGTAGTTAAGAGAGACGCATCTACCTTTTTTCACTCTATAGCTTAATATTTGCATTTATGTACATACATATGTACATATACAATATTTGTTAATCGAACCAAAATAAAAATCAAAACAATACTTAAAGAAATAAAAAATCAAAACAATACTTAAAGATATCAAAATTAAAATAATTCTAAAAATATACATACATAAACTATTAAAACAATATTAAAACACAAATAAAAAAGTATAAGAAATCAATAAAAAAGTTGATAAAATTTTAAAAATAAACAGGAAAAAGTTTTTTTTTAATAAAACAAAGTAAAAAATATATAACAAAAAAAATATTTCAAATATAAATATTTAAACAAACAATATTTTAAAAATATATAAAAAAAATTAAAATTCAAATATTAAAAAATATATACATATAAAACACAATTACTAAGCAAATGCATATATTAAGAACTAAAAATTAAAAAAAAAGAATATCAAAATAATAAAATAAATAAAAACACAAATACTAAAGATAACAAATATCGAGTAAAAATTGCAAATATTAAAAAAATAAAATGAATAAAATTAAATTAAAAATTTTAACAGCCCTAAAATAAAATTATTGAAAATAAAACAAATATTAAAAAAAAGTATTTAAAAAAATATTTAAAAAAAAAATATTTTAAAATATGAAAAAAAAATATTTAAAAATATAAAAAAACAAATATAAAAAAAAACAAATATAAAATAAAAACAAATATTAAAAAACAGTTAAAAAATAAATATTAAAAATATAAAGACAAATAATTTAAAATAATATATTAAAAACTAAAAAATTAAAAAAAAATTACAATAAGCTCAAAATAAAATCAAGTAAATGAAATTAAACGAAACAGAACAAAAATAAAATGACTAGCTTTAATTTTCTAACATATAACCTCAAATTGCAAATGGGATCACCATATATACAACAGCCCATATTATTAGAAAATAAAAGAATAAAAATATAAGAAAATAATTGTACCATCTAGCGTTGATTATTTATAATAAAAAAATATATTTGAGAAACGAGGATTCCGTTTTTCCTTTTTGTAAATATTTCGTAAAATTTAACCGTAAAAGTACACACTTAAAACTTATTTTTCTGTCATATATATATTCAACTAAAATAGTTATTTGGAACTACGCTTTACCTCTGCGATAGATAAGCGCCTAAATACACTCAATGATCTAATCTTGTAAGGCAACGAGTGCATGTGTTATTGAATATACTTGTATAGTTGGAGTTGGCACAGGCATTGTTGCGTTCAATGATAGAGCATTCGAAGAAAGTGAAATAAGGAGACGAAAGAAGCGCTTACAATTTATGTGTATTATCATTTGCGTGAACTTCTTGACTGCTCGGGCCATTGGTGAAACGCAGCTCATTGGACTTATGATCGCTGTCATCACTCTCATCATCGTGCGCATCCACTGCACTGCCGCCCAGCGGTTTTGTCCACATGCCCTCATCATCCTCATAGTCATCCTCAGAATCCTGCATCACCGACTGTAGTGTACGCACCAACGAAGTGGCCAAAGCCTTCTCATTCGACACATCCAAATCATCTGCCACATCGGTACCATCCGCAAATTCGCCAATCTCTTGCGTTACCAGCGTTATACTCTTCTCTACATTTGCATTATTATCATAACCAGTTTCGGTTTTACTATTAGTGACAGTTGGCGCGATGGTACGGCTGATGTCACTCAAAATTGCACCGTTATCGGTTGTGTTTCGTTGCTCTTGGTTGCCAACAATAACATCGCTACTGCTATTCGTGCTGCCATCAGCGTTATTGCTGTTCTCTTTACCTGCAGCAGTTTCAGGTGTTGTAGATGCCGCACTCACTAAACTCTCGCCCAAATCATTGGCGAACGAACTGAAATGCGAATCGAAATCAGCAAAATTATCCGAATTGAAGTCAGCTGTCCACGGTGTCGCATTGCTATTCGCAGTTAGATCGGTGAACGGATCCATATCATCCCATGGATTGTTGGTTACACCGAACGCTTGTAGAGTTGATGTTGAAACAGCACTTTTGCCGAAGAGAGAGGAACCGGTTCCGCCACCGCCACCGCCACTGCCAGCACCGCCAGCGTTGTTTTCATCGTCCTCGTCATCGTCGTCGTCAATATTGCGACCGAACTGAAACAAATTAAGGTCGTTTTCGGCGTTATCATCGTTTTCGAGCAGATTATTGCGATAGATGTCATGTTCAAGCGCAAAAACTATGTCCTGTCGATTTGGTGATGGTGGTTGGCATACGTTTTCGCATTGCGTTCAGGACACAACAAATAGACAAAGATAGCAGATAGTGAAATGAAAGTGAGATGTATACATAGGACTACATACATACATAGAACTACTGTGTGTGACTGTGAATGGTATAAAATAGTTTTTTCTCCTACTCGACAACTTTGCGTACGAGTTTTGAGAATAAGTGGCTTTTCAAATGGTAATAAGCGGATTTTTTCGTAAATATTTTAATGTGTTTATTGTCTATTCGAAAAGCGTGTGGTGAAAAGTGTTTAGGGTGATATAACAAAATGAAATGAAAATGAAATGTTAATTAGTGTTAACTGTGCCTGTGCATAATTACAAAACTAACTTCACTAAAAATATTACAAATTTACAAGTATTGAATGCATTGCATACATTATGGTGCAAAAAGTATTGGTTATGATTGTTTATGAAAAAAAATAATATCCGCACATTTGATTTCTATTAAGCTACTTTCGAAGAAAATTTAAATTAATTTGTGAATTAGGCAGCACTGTTCAAAAAATGATAAAAGGAAGCACTAGTTTGCGACATACATAACTATGCAATGCAGTTACAAAATTATTTTTATACAATTTGATGACTCATTTTTTTTCAATTATTGTATATTAAAAAATTCGTTTTTGTACAGTGTTTGTCTACATGACATTGGCATCAATTAGATAAAACTTACGTTTGAACCGGAATCATTGAAGCCAAGATTGCTGCTAAAAATTTAATTTTCCAAATAATTAAATTGGTAATAGTAATATGGGATATTATTCGCAACTAACTTACATCATATTCGATGACATAATATAATCCCAAGTGCTGTTATCAAAATCTTTTGATAAATGTGGACTGTAGTCGCCCGCCTCATGGGCATTACAATTCGCTAACATTTTATTTTGTGTGGCTAAGGCCTTTGTTAGATCACCATCGGTTGGGTTTATTATTGATTGCCACAATTTTAATTCAAACTCATCACTTAAATTACTCTCAATTAAGGCACCGATATGTTCAGATTCTGATATACTATTCGTAATATGTTTGAATATTTTTATTAAATGTCCCATATAACCGAGACGACGACCTTTTTCGGCTGACCTATTTAGTAAATAAAGCCGAATTAAAATCAAATACAGATTTCACGCAACAAAAGCAACAGGACTACTTACTCCATCTCTGTGTTGTATGACCAACAGTCTATTAATTTTGAAATCAGCTTACACTTTTCAATTACCTAAAATGCCAACATATTTCTCATTTATTATTTGTTACCACATTTTTTCAAAATTAATCAAGATTAATAAAAATTAATACGTACATGTGTTTGCAATGCGGACGGAACACTGTCGGTTTGCGCTTTGGTTTTGTTTTGCTCGTTAATCTCATCTTCCTTACGTTCCCCATCAACATCTGAAGTAGTTGGTGCTTCTGCGCTTTCTGTCACCTTTTCTACAGTTCCTTCATCTGTTTCCATGGCGTTAGCATTTGCTGCAGTTTCATTACTTTCGGATTTTTCTTCCGTTGCTATTTCGTCTTTGCCGTCACCAATTTGTTCTTCCGTTTTCATTTCGACGTCTTCCTTATCAACGGATTTTTCATCTTTTTCAACATTTTTGCTTGCCTCATTAACTTCAAAATTTTCATCTTTGCTATTATCAGACTTGAAAATGAAATCGAAAAACGATGTATTTTCTGCATTGTTTCCCGTTTTGTTGAATGAGCCATCATTCACAATTGTACTGCCTTGCATTGAGTTATTGTTATTCGATAGTTTTGTATAAAATACTAATTGAAGACACTTTTCAACTTCGCTATGCAAAAAATTATTCCAACAATATTGCTTGAAGAGGGTTAATAAGGTTTCAAAGAAATCCGTCTCACAGACACTACGAAAAGGAAAACGTGAATAGTATAAGTATATTTTAAGAATCCATTTATTATACTTACGCTTTTGAAATTGTTTCATTTCTAGTCTGCAATAATACTGTAAAAATACGGCAGATTTGCAAACGAGTCATGCCAAACGGCTGTGATAACTTGGCTGCAGTAGTCACTAATTCAGGTTTCTAAAAATTAATAAATACAACAATAAATTTAGTGCAATTTCTATGTATATATATATACTAACATTTGGCGGGTTTCTAAGTAACTCATTGAAATCTTTAAGACGCGGTGCAATGACACAAATCACAGTAGAGAGTATTTGTTCACGTATCTCTTTTTCACGATTTTGTATGAATTTCATACGATCGGTATTAGGTTCATCACTGAAAGCACAAAACATCAATAAGAGTACGTTTTTTGTATGTAAATACTAAAGCTTACGTAAAAACCACTGGTTTTAAAAGCATAAGTACAACCGATATTCCTGATACGACTGCGCTTTCTTGCGCGTTTGGTTCTAAAATCACATTCAACAAGGCTTCAACATTGCGCTCACTTTCGATGCATTTCAAAATTGGATTTGAACCGTCGAATGTGGGCTCAAACGTGTCATTCTCCTGCTCCATATAACGCATAGAACGACCTTGTTGTATTAAATCACAGAGAAATTCCGCCACATTTGCATGCTTGTCGGTTTCTTGAGGATTGCCAATTAATTTAATCAGTCTCTCTACGAGTTTATCTTCAGTGAGCCACTAATATATAAAGTGTTAGTAAACAATTTTTCATAGTAACTGATGCTACAACTTACTTCATATAAATTCCGTTTCATTTGACCTTCTACCTCCCGCATCATTTGCATTATCAAATCGGGTATAACGGGTGTGGAAAAATGCTTACAAATCAAATCCAAAAAATTATTTTGCGACTTAATGTATTCCAAGAGTTTTAGGCACATTTGTTGATTCAAAAACCAATCTTGTTCAGCCTTTTTTGTGAAGAGCATACTAAACGTTTTGCTAAAAAATGACGATAGCAAAGGATTTAACGGTGGTTCATTTTCCAGATATGAATATAGGGTTTTTAATATATCTTCATCAGACAAAAGCTTCTCATCTAAGGACGGCAAACCGCTGAAATTTTCAAAACAAACAAATTACAATAAAGGTGTGAAATTAAATTATCAAGTTATTTTAGTGATGCTTACAGCGTTAAAATTTCACAAGCCATATGCGCATGGCGATATCTTTGTGCCAAAGGTAGATCCCCAGAAGGTTCTGTCGTAATGAGTTCAACAAGGCGTATGATTACATCAGGGCGAGTGAAACTATAATATAAGGAAATATACATTTTATTGTTTTTATTTAAGTTAAAAAAATTCCTATATATTTTATCAATAAATCTTGCAAAATTAACTTACTAATTAACAATAGACTTCTTTTGTGATCTACACTCCAGTAGGATATCATCATCGTCCAGAAATTCCTCAACAGTAGCATTCTGCAAAATTTATACACAATTATATTCATACTTGTGTAGTTGGTGCCGCAACACTGAAGCGTGGTTTTAGTAAAGTTAATGAAGTTATATTTGCTGCAATAATTATACAATCTTGCGTGTGCAACAGCACGGAAACATAATATCTTTAACTCTCTTCAAAGCCCATAAAACCACACAATATGTGATACATAGCATACATACGTATGTATGTATATACACTCACCTCTTTCTCCAATAGCGCCTCTATATTCTGTGACGGTGTATAGCTTTTGTCCCAAAACATTTTTTATTCACCTTTATGCACGTACTTTAACTTTTCTACGTCGTTTGTTTAATTGTTGATACTCCAACTCTATTTTTTTCTTACAAAATGATTCTGTTATATTCTGTTCAGTTAATAATTGTTATTGTTTCACACGTCTGGCACAATTCTAAAAGATAATATCAATTCAGATAGAAATTTAAAATATGTGTGTATAAATATAATAACTTATTAAAGGCGTTTTATTTCTAAAATTCTTGCTTCGATAGACTTTTAACCAGCCCCTCTTCTGTATTTCTTTTACATACATTTGGTGCATCATCACTCGCGTATTAGTTTAGGTTCCCATTATTTTGCAATTCACTCTGCTTAATTTTTTTATCTATTTCCTAGTAGGTTGTTAAAAAAAAATAGAAGTTTTCAATGATTTGTATTGCGATTTATTTGTCCGTTCAACTGCTGAAAATTTTTTCCACTTTTCATTTGACAGCTCAGGTTAAAAGCAAAAAAATTATGACAACAGCGCTATAAATCCCGTTTTCCTTCATTTAAGCGGTTTTCTCTGTCAGATCAGCTATAAAATCAGCTAAATTTAGTGACGTATAAATAAGTCTTACTTGTTGCTGATATTTACATTGTCATGTTAGCAACCGGGTTTCATATTTTCGGCGTTTATTTACAAAATAATACAATTCTTCAGAACTCAGAAAAAACACAATATTATAACACAGCTAACCGCACATATCACAATACATTGAAACACTTGAATTGTTAACCTAAAGTACAAGTAACCACGTATTTATCACTGGCCAAATACACATCTCTAGCTGATTCCATTATGCCAACACAAGATTCGAATATTTTAAGTTCAACAAAAATGTCTGCTTGTTTAACTAAACAATTGACAAATATGCATTATTCCGATCAATTCAGATATATAATTAAACCATGTTTTAATTAAGAGCGAAAAACTGCTACACATTTATTTTTGTCAGATCATGTCCACGCGACACTATGAAAGTATCCTTCCCACAGATTCGACGATCATCAACTCAGTAACTCACCCAACAGTTTGGTCAACGATGTTAATTATGACTTTCGAGTGTTTGCCTAATGTTCTTTTGAGAGTTTTTAACTATTTTATTTCGGCTTCATTAGAAAATTTGCAACTAAATGTCGCCACGGCGAAATATTTTCCTTCTCTGCAAAGTTTTCACGTTTGACAGTTCACTTTTTCATCTTTTACTATATTCACATTCGTTATGGTAATTTTGTGTCTTTCCCACAAACTTTTAAAACAACTGTCAATTACCTATAAAATTGCGATTGCAGGGATTCGATTCTATCTGTTCGATGGTACAAATTTTACAAATGAATAAAACTTAGCTTATAATCATAATATAAATGATATTTATTCATCATATATATTATTTTAACGATTTCAATATATTTCAACATTTTTGTGTACATATTATTTTGAGTTTATTCTAGGAGGGGTTAAAAAAAAACTTAAATTGAGTATCTCGATTATTATCGATATATTTTGAACTTAGCTAATAACACTAAGTAGTGTTGTTTGATGGTCAAGTTCAGAGTTTGTCTATTTTTAACGATATCATAACAAATTACTGGGCACTTAATACTATGTGCATAAACGATGTGCAAAATATAGATGTGGGCCATTTAATAAGGGCTTGCGGTAGGTAAAAGACAATATATTATATAAGCAGAGAAAACATGTATAAAGTGACCAGTGAAATCTATGGTGAAACAAACTATAACTCAATCAAAGGCGACAATGGAAGGGTATTGTCCAAATTTAAATTCAAATATCCACAAGACGATGAGAATGTAGTAGCCCAAAACGGTATGCTTGTTGATAAAGACGGTGACCTAATAGTGCAAAGGAAAAGGGGATCGACACTAGATGGTGTGATTGTCATTGAACACTCTGAAGCCACAGAATTACGATTGGTGGGACTGCAAGTCTGGAGAGGTGCGCTGCTATTAGCTGACTATATTTTTCATAAACGTACCGAATTTCGTGATAAATTTATTTTGGAGTTGGGTGCAGGCGTTGGATTGACAAGTATTGCTGCAGCTCTCTATGCGCAACAGGTCGTATGTACGGATGTGAATGTTGGTGGGATATTAGACTTAATACGTGAAAATGTAAAACATAACTCGAAATTGCTTCAAAATCGCAATAACATTAATGTATTGGAGCTCGACTTTCTGAAGCCTATTGAAGAGTATGCTCCTGCTCTGCTAAGGGCTATTGCTAATTGTGATATTGTAGTGGCAGCTGATGTGATCTATGATGATGATTTAACTAATGCATTCATACGTGTTATAGATGTGTTTTTTGAACGTGGAAGATTATCTGGTAAAAATAAAACGGTTTTAATAGCTTTGGAGAAACGTTACGTTTTCACACTTACGGAATTGGACACAACAGCGCCAATGTTTGAATATTTTTTAAAACAAACTATGCATAAACCATGGCTATTTGAGTATATCGACACAAACAGCTTTTCACAATATTTTGAATATGATCGTTCCAGACATTTAGTTCTGTTAAAAGTTACTTATGAAAAATAAAGATTATTTATAAAATTAAGTATTTATTAGCTTTACTTAATATAAAAAGTCATTATGAAACAACAAACCAGACAATTAAAAATAATTATAAAACTATGCACAAAAGTGCTAAAAGCAAATCCTCAATAAATTGATTGTAATTAAGAAGTCTAACTTTTAATTACAAATCCTGCATTGCAAGAATAATATTCTCAAGAGCTGTACGGGCATCAGTAGCCGGAAACTTTTCAAGCACTCCTATTGCTGCGGTAGTATGTTTACGTTGCAATTCTTTGGTCTTTTCCAATCCTGGTCCATCGAGAATTGCTTTGTGAATTTTCGCGTAGTCAATTTTCTCCACAGAGACTTTACCCTTTTCAATTTCATCGTATAATGAAGGATCGTATTCGAGATGATAGAGAACCGGCGCGCTTACCAATGAAAATGTAGTATCTGTAAATGCCAAATATAACATTATTTGAGCAATATGTTGAGAAAATACTTACTTACCTAAAGGAAGTGTTGTGCTTTGAAATGGCTCGGCATCCAAGCAAGCCTGCCATGCCAATGATAAATGTTTACCAAAAAGATATGCTTGCCGTTGCATGTCCTCATCTAGCCCAGCTAATTTTAACGCACCTTGACACGCTTTCCCCAGCAGACTTCCCGCGTTTAATATATTCCGACATTCCCATTCTTTTTCGGGATTACCCATAGCTTTCAGCACATTCATAGGTATCATCACGTCGTTGACGTCGAAATCGATGCTTTCTGTTGTTGCTGTACCGTTTGTTTTAGGCGGTTCAGATCCTGGTTTTGTAGGTAGTGGATTATTTTGTTCATCACGGTCGCCAATAAATTGCGATTCAGAAAAATCGCGAACAGCTGATGAAATTAATTCGACTACTTCTTGATTACGTAAATTAGCTAATTCAGCGCTGGAGTGACCAAGTAGGTAATCACCAGTTAATAATCCAATTTTGTTTCCAAAAGCCATATCCTCATGAGATGCTGTGTCCTTTCCAGCTTCGGATGTTGGTTGTAGATTTACCAAACTCTGTAATTATAATGATTATTGAAGTATAAATTATAACATTTTAAAGTAAACTTACATTGTGCACCAGATGAGATATTCTAATCATTTCGGTAACTTCCGCCAATGCACGTTGAGAGTGCAACACACCGGCGCTTTTATCTTGTTCCATATCCGGTACTGAGGGTGCATGTCCCGCGGCTTTGGAAATCAATAACACAATTAGACCCCAAGCTTGCATTGTATTTTTGCCATTATAAAGCAAATGTCTGCAAATTAATAGTTAAATGTTTTTTTTAATCTTAAAAATATATATCTAATTACTTTGCCGTTTTTAGTAAAGGATGATTGCTACCGACTAATTTTCGTAGATGCAAAGCGACATTAGCAATCTCATCACTAAGTAGCCACCGTAGACTGAGGAATGAAGTGGGATAGCCAACAATACGTTCTGCCTCGCTAACAGCGCGATTCCAGTCGTGCTTCGGAGGTGTTGGCTTTGCTGCTGACGTTGACGTCAGCTTACGAGCAATTGGTTGTTGTGCAAAAGTGAAAGTTGCTGCAGGTGCAAAACGCAATAAGCGCGTCTGATGTTTACCTATTGTAGCCCATTGCCTGCTGGTTTCCGTTACTACGTGCTTCCACATTGCGTATTCTATTTATAATTTATGTTATGTTTTCTAAAAAACTTAATAGATTACAGTAGAATATTACACTACAAAATAAAACACCACTCGTACGCAATGAATCAACGTCTGACCTTAAGCTTTACTCGTTGAGAAGTGAAACTCAAGTCGTCGTTGCGATTAATTTAGTGGAAAGCTCAGGCAGGTAAGCTGTAGTTTGTGGTATTTTTAATAGCAATCTCTGTTTGTTTACTATTTGATAGTTTTCTCTTCTCCACTTATTCTCTCTCTGAATGGTTACACAAATTGAAGTTACATAGCTTTTGAGCATTCTTTAGCAGCAAAACCGGTCTAATGGAATTTATAATATATAAGAAAAAGAACAACGAAAACATAACAAATATATCAGCTGATTGACAGATTGCCACCAGTCTAAAGTTTATTTCAAAGTTTTTGAGGGCTATAATTTAAAAAAATATCTACAAGTGTAACTCTATTTGCAACATTTTATCGTAAGGGTATAGTTAAGAAATATGTGTATCAGTTTTGCTAGAAAAAAGTATGTTAAAATTGCGTGGGTAGAATTTTAACTCAACAAGCTTTTTTGATATAATAACAATTATGAGATTTTTGCGAAAATTGATAGGCAGCAATCTGACACAACGACGAATTAGATTACAGAATAAAGATGTACAATTTTATCTTTTTATGTACCTGTACAATTTGAGGTAAATCAAATTTAAAAAGAACAAAGGCAAATTCATCTGTACCTCTTTAAACTGACATTTTTGTATATGCTTGTGTAAGTACACAAATTTTGCGATAATTTTCACAATTAACCTTCTATTCGCCTTAGATAAACACATTATAATATATTTTATTGTTAAAGTAAATGTCCTACAAAAGTGTTTCTTGGCCAAGAAGAGAAAACATTAATGTTTATGGCACCGATCACTATCATTTCGATCTATTTTAACAAAAATAAATTGATAACGATAAAAACTCTTAATATCAGCGTCGAGGATTTTAATATCAGTAAGGTTCTTAAGTTTAGTAAGATTACGTTTGAGAAAGTTCATCGAATTGAATACTGCCATAATTCGCAATCTTATAGCAAGCAGAAATGCGCCAGACATTTAAACATTTACCTGTAGGGTCTGATACTAATAAATGTAACATTATTCACGTGTAGACTATAATTAACAACTTAAGATTGCAGACGCATTTTAATCACATGTAAGTACTCAGTTAATAGCAGCTTATAAATTATTGATGGCTTATTTTGCATACGAAGAATTTATGATAACAGTTGTTGAAATAAAGTAACCTTCAACTCAATAGAAGCAATAGAAGTACATTTATTTATGAGATTATGTCTTATTAACTACCAGTCTATATATAAAAGCTTATATATACATTTTAAAAGAAAAATTTCTGGAAAGATTTTATATTTACTTTAGAATTTAGAAAAAGAAATATCTTCTTTAAAATAACACAAAAAGTATTTTTCAAAGCTATTTCTGGAACGATTTTAATTTATTAGATGATATCATTTGGCCGATATCCAGTTTGTGTTTGAAAGTTCTTAACACGATAATATATAATTATAGGTGTGTCCAATAAGCTTTATCATTACTGAATTCAAACTAAGAACTGTTGACTGTTAGTATATTGAGGCCAAAGAATATTTATTTTTAATGAATATATAATCTACAATAGGTAATATAGAATAATTATAATATTTTTTTTTTATTTATTTTATTAAATTCACTTTTTCATTTAGTTATTTCTTAAAATATGCTCAACGAAGTGCCAAAAATTCAGTTCTTATATTATGTTATTCTGTTCCTAGATATATGTTTAAAGTATTGGTATTTCACTGTAGCAATAAACAATCTGCTCAAGAAGCTCTCTCGAGCTGATAAGAAACTTGTTACTTAAGAGTACTTGGAGTGATAGTGTTGCCGCCTGAACAAATTTTTTCCTACCAAACCAATTAATAAATACCTTATTAAATTTTTTTTTTATCCCACCTTGAATTGATATGAAGAACATATTCAGATTTCGATTTCAGTTACATTTGTACAAGAGAATATAAGAATAATATAATGTTTCGGAGCCCACAAATATTTGAGGTCTACCCACTCTTATTAATAGAACCAAAGAGCAATTGACTTTGTTTCAAATGGATTAAAGTGGCAGCCCTACTTACTATATTAATGTGCTATTATCATAAATAAATTTGTGTACGTTATAAAGCAGTGATAATAAAGAAAAATCTAAATTCTACTCCTGATTTCTCTCAGCTTTTAAGTATGTGATTTGGCGAGCTCCGATGCAAAATGCGAAATAACGCTCGACGGTAAAGTATTAGCGGAGTATAATGCAATATGTGAGAATTATCAATCACTGACGCGTTCACAATCACCGGCATGTGCAATGATAAGCACAACTAATATAAGAGCGTCTTTATAAAAGGGGCATACAAATATCGCCTGTATTTCAATCCTGTATAAAGCTTTGCGCGCCAAACATATGTGGACATTCGGCAAGTTTATATTGAAGACACCATAACAAAATTCAATTGTATTAAAGTTAAAAATGTGTGGCATATTTGCGATATTTTCAAAAAATGGCGAACCCATATCACCACGAATCTTTCATGGTAGTATGCATACTTTGCGAGAAATTGGTTATCGTCAAAGTGGTAAACAAAGGCACCGAGGTCCAGATGACACGGGCGTAAAAGTGCTGCCGGATCATGGGGTAGTTTTGATACACGAGCGTCTATCGGTTGTTGGCGTAAAATCAGGGCATCAGCCCTTGGTTTCGGAAAGCGGTGATGTGTTGTTGGTGGCGAACGGTGAAATTTACAACTACCTTGAACTGTCTGCGGAAATTGCAAAGAAGCGTATTCATTACAAACCTAAAAGTGATTGCAATGTCATTGTTGAGCTTTATGAAGAGTATGGCGAAGAACTGTTGGAGTATATCACTGGTATGTTTGCCTTTGTGCTCTATGACAAACGCACGAAGAATATTTTGATTGCTCGTGACCCTTTTGGGATAATACCGTTATATATTGGTGAGGATTCAGATGGCAATGTGTGGGTTGCTTCAGAAATGAAGTGTCTCGTTGATTTTTGTCCGAACTTGGAGCTTTTTAAGCCAGGCGAACTGCGAGTAGGACAGGCCAATAACTTACAGCTTAAGAAATATTTCAAAGAGGAGTGGATTGAACATATACCAACCCAAGAGGTAGATTTGACAATTCTGCGCTCCAAATTAGAATCAGCTGTACGTTCCCATCTGCAATGTGATGTCCCCTTTGGTGCGCTGCTCTCAGGCGGTGTCGATTCTAGTCTAATAGCTTCGATTGCGACAAAATTGCGCCGTGAAAGTGATCCTACATACCGATTAAAAACGTTTTCAGTGGGTCTACGAAATGCACCTGATTTCAAAGCAGCAAAACTAGTTTCTAACTATATAAACAGTGATCACACCGAAATAGTATTCGAAATAGACGATGCTTTAGATGGCATACGTGATATTATCTACCACTTGGAAACATACGATGTAACAACGGTACGTTGTAGTCTACCAATGTTGTTATTGGCTCGTTATATTAAAAGCACTGGTATTAAGATGATTTTGTCTGGCGAAGGTGCCGATGAAATATTTGGTGGTTACTTATACTTTTTCAAAGCGCCAAGTCCAGTTGAGTTTCATAAAGAATTAGTAAAGCGAGTCGAACTAATTAATGTATCCGATTGCCTGCGCGCCAATAAAGTCACAATGGCCAAAGGTCTAGAGTTGCGTGTGCCTTTCCTCGACACAGCCTTTGTGAACTATGTGATGTCGGTCAGACCGGAGGACAAAATACCTGGTAATCTTAACTGCTTAGACAACCAACAAAAATATCGTATTGAAAAGCATATTCTACGCGCTGCCTTTGCCAATAATTACCTACCTGACGAAGTACTGTGGCGACAAAAGGAACAATTTTCCGACGGTGTCGGCTATGACTGGATTGATAGCATACGTCGCGTGGCGACCTCACATATAACTGATGAACAGTTTGCTACAGCTGCCGTACGTTTCCCTATTAACACACCAACTACTAAAGAAGCCTATTATTATCGTACAATTTTCGAAGAACTATTCCCTGGTACAGCAGCAGCGCAGACAGTGACACGTTGGGTGCCACGTTTGGATTGGGGATGTCCTGAAGACCCATCTGGTCGTGCTCAAGCTGTTCATCAAGTGCATCAGTGAGTGTGAATGAAGAGGCTTGAAGACTGATTGTTATCTGCAGACGTCTCGACGACTGCGAAACTTTTTTATTTCTTTGAAGTATTGAATGAATAGATAAGATATAAATTGAATGTTTACATCAAAAAAATACGTACATATTTATGTATGTCATGCCTCATTATCTATCTATGTATGTATGTAAGATTTGTTTGAACTTATGCCTAAGTACATACTAAGTAATTTTTGGCTATATATAAAGAGTATTAATACATAATAAAAGGCAAATAAAATAAAAAAATTAAACTGATTAACAGACTTTAAGTATAGCTCTTAAAAAAAAAAATAAAAAGATAAGGAGTTTTTTTGGCTCAGCAAGTGGAGACATGTTCGTATGTATAAAATGTTCGAGTTTAATGACTCTTGGTATAAGCGAAATTAGGAAAAAACAACGGTTAGTGAAGCATATTTGGGAAATTTGCATTATGTCTACATATTTTTGAGAACAGCCTCGGCTCAACAGTATTAATAAATTTTTCGGTGTGCAGTTCTGAATTATAACCGGCGTTTCGCGTGTTAAACATGCATATAATAAACATGTATATAAAAGTATAAATTCAATATTTTTGTTGGACCCTTCTGATATTATAAATCGCGGTATATCTTTCCAAAAATTAGAAAATGATTTCTTGTGAAAATTGTAATGCCACATACAAGTTTCGCTCTTTCAAAAGATTTGTACATACATATGTATGTGCATAAATATATATACATATATGTATAAATATATATACATGTATACATATATGTATATATATCTCAATTTCTTCCTTACTATAGTAACTATAATAATATATCAATTTAATTCAATTTAATATTCTATGATTGCACATTAAGTGTTCATATTATATTAGCATTTTTCGCTGCTTTCTTTTCTAAATTAGTTAGAAATAAATATAACTATTTGCAACGAATTGAATATTGTGTTTACTTACCTAAGCACATCCACGATGTGATGATCAGACTATGTTTGGCTATGTTGACGATGCGACATAAGACGTTCCCCAAAGTTTTTGAAGAATGCTGAAAACTTGATGCCATACAATGGAATATGAATCCAGGTCTGTTTCGGTAACGACAAACCGACAGTGGTTGTTGTTGTTGTAGTGGCAGAATTCTGCCGTGTTGACGTCCTTGACCGAATAAAATCCCGGTCCGTTCCGGTTACGTAGACCCGACTGTCGTTGAAACGAAATAAAATATATATATCTGAAATAATTATGTGGCAGTGCGCCCCAATCCCTCCTTGCCTGCGATCGTTCAACTCGCAAAAAGCAAAAAGCGTAGCCAAAAGACATTGCTTGTGCGGGGCAAGAAGAATCAAGCATCAGCGTACGTGTATTTAAGATTGTATGTGTAAAACTCACATTTGTGTAAATACGCACAATAAGGAAATATTCAATAAACCTAAACATATGAACATATTTTCCTGATATATTTTAATTATATCAGGAAGTAAAATATGCTATTAAAGAAATTTAATTATGATATGCTTAGATTCCAATTAATAAAATAAAAAATTAAATAAAATTTCAGTTTCATGAGTTTTAGGATTTGAACTCATATGCTCGTATTCGGAATGAGCTTAACTCCTTCACCCTTACGACCTCAGCCACCACAAACGTGGAAACGCGGCCGCTTAGCCACCGTTTTATTGTTATCCTTTGCTCAATAAGCACTTACTCACGCAACGCACATAAATAAGTTGGAAAAATTGCCTATTTAATGTTTATTTTATTATGAATTCTGGGGTTTTTACCGGTAATACAGATTTTTAATTCAGAAGGCTTTTCATAATTATAAATTTGTCATATCATAGAATTTGAAAACATAAATCTAAATAGGTACGCGCAACGATTTTGCATATAGGAATATTCGTTGTGTCTATTTATAGCATTTCGCACATGAGTACTCATCAACATTCTCTGAAATTAGTACTCAAAAGATTTCATTTAACATTTGCTCCTTCTCTATTCATTAACATTCTCTGGATTAACTTGTTTATTGTTGTTTGCCTTATTTTGTTTTTCACTAGATGTCGCCCTGTTCATAAACGCAGGGTGACTACTAAATCCATAGTTGACGCAATGCAATTAATGCATAAAACCTCGTCACAAATTTATCAAAAATGAAGATCGTACCAGGTATAAACACAAATGCAAACATGGAATAAAAGTATCAGAGAATGTAGATTATATTTTACATTCTCTGAAAGTATCATATTATGGAATTTAAGAAATTTTGAAGATATATTCACCCTTTAGTTAAAGCCAAAAACAGAAAATATATTTTACTTATATTACTTATGACATTCATCAAATCTCTGATTCGTCTTCTGGCATTTTGACGGACGAAATTGAAAATGACATAATTTTACGAAGAGCAAGCAAATATCCAACAATTATATGTGTGGCTGCGAAAACTGCGATTTTAAAATAAAAAATTAAACATAAGCGAATCGAAAATATGTGAAAAAGTTATGGCAAGCTGTGAGGAAACAGATAAAAATTATTTATTTCCAATTGAAAAGTGAAAAAATAATAATCGAAACAAAAGAGTGTATCGTTGAAGATACAGATAGAAATTTGTAAAAGGTGAAGCCGCCGCAACTGCGTCACTCATTGGAAAACGGGAGAGAAGCAGAAACGAAAAACGCGAATCAAGTAATAGAATAAAGCGAATGAACATATTTTGTGTAAATGTAAGCGCGTGTTTTATGTTTTGTGAGCAATTTAAAGTTACCGTAAAAAGTCGAAAGAATTGTGGAAAAAGCCATCAACTGAATATTTATTAAATATAGTAAAAAAAACGAAGCAGCAGAAGTTTAGAAGAGTAGAAGGCGAAGGCAAGAAACGTAGCGCTTAAAAAAGAGAAGAAGAGACATTGGAATTTGTAAATGTGAGTACATACTGTAAAAGCAACAGCGGACGTCTTGGGCATAGGGCACGTCAAATAACTATACAGAAAATCATTAAAAAAATAAAGAAATTTCTTTAACTAATTAAAAATAATGTTAAAAAATCGGTATTTATTTGTCGGCTGAATTTCTATATAAGTGTCAAGGTAGAGAGTTTTCAAAGAAAATTCTTAGGCATTCCTTTCGATAGGTAAAAAGGAGCCGAATTGACAAAGTATCAATCAAGGAGAGAGCAAACGCCCTGCAAGTTCCCGATTGCACGAAATTCGCAAAACAGTGGCCCTGCTGGAAAATCAATTTCACTTCTTGTTTGTGGCCAAGAATCGAAAATGTATTATTGAGTTGTTACAACACACAAATCAACTAAATTGGCACAGCTGTTGATTCGTAATCATTAATAATAGTATAATTTTTTTTATCTTGTTCTGTGAGTTTAAATTTATTAAAATGTTAATAAGCTCTGTACACTTATGATATGAGATCATATGTATATAATCGTATGCAAATTGTCAGCTTCCAGATTAATTAATAATGTTGAAAATGTGCTATAAAAACTCTAAAAGAACATGTGGTTGGACTCCGATACCTCATAGCAATGATGGGGCTTGGCATAAATAAACGAATAAGTGAATATGAGCAACCTCTCTCTTTAGGCGCTAAAAAGCTTACACTTGCGGTTCTCTGTGATGGCTACGACAACAATTTTCGCTATTCATTGCTCGCTCAATTGAAACCAATTTGCAATTACTTTGACATTTCTTTGGACAATTGTCAATACAGCGCGTGCGGTGACAACACAACCGTTGGTGGCATTCATTACCGGCAACGATTGCCAATTTTTTTTTTCAATTAAATACAGAACATTCAACAAAATTGTGATTATAAATAGAAAATTGCGTATGCATTGATTTCGACGTCGCAGTGTTGATCGTAGTCGACGTCGATGACGACGACAATATTGACAGCAAATGTTTTTTTTTAATTTTTTATATATTAGGCTTTGCCTCACGTATTTTTCTTATACTCTCAAACAGACTTAAGAAACTACGTTACATTAAATGTGACATCAATATAATTTATTGGTATATTGTTTTTGATATATGTATACATATATATTCCTTTTATAGTTGTATAAAATTATGAGTTCAAGAGATCAAAGGTTTTGTAATATAATTGGTTTTTGTAGGTATAAAGCTACAAAATATTGCATTTTCTTTATAAAAAGTTTGTTTAGTATATATGCATTTGCATTTGTATGTTTATATATATATGCCATGTTATGTTGCTTGGTAATGGCAGGTTTTGTTGATTAGGATGAAAATATATAGACTGAACGTATATATGTATTTTTTTTCGCTAAGGGAGCTCACATAAATTTCAATAAAATCAAAAGAAGTATAAATTCTGAAACACGAAAGAATATCTATTGTCGATTGTTGGAAAGTAACGCCATACCCACATTTTGATTTTATAATTATCTACTGACCAAATAAGGGATTTGGTAAACAATAAAGAGTAGTGGAGAAGTGTGGAAGCAGCAGAAGAAAAAGAAGAAATAGAAAAAACTAGCTTTAATTTTCATATATCTACTTATTTGAAATAATCAAAGCTGGTTGGACCGTACACACCTTGTAACTATTTCGATAATAGTGACGTATATTAACTACAAGAAACAACCGGTGCTCACAGCCGGTGGTTCTCTTTTTATTCTGTTTTCTATGCATTTCGCTATAAGGCGATGAAAGATGATTCACTCGTCAAAATCATCCGCTCCCACACTCTCATATCATATGGTGGACACTTTGGTGGGTCGATGTTAGCTACGGTAATTTTTTATCTGTACTGTGAAAAATAAAATAAAAACGTATAGCAATTTATTTTGCATCAAATGCTTTAGGTTGCACATAGAAACAGATGCGCAAGTTCAGTGCAAGAATCAGAAATTCTGTTTTCCAACTGCTTGAAATATAATTCTGATAGGAAATGTGATTACCGACATCTTTACCCTGCATAACTTATTTGAAAATAGTTGTGATTGTTTTCCGTTAAACAAATAGTAAATAATACTGTCGCACGGCAGTGGTTTTAATGCACAATGAATGCATATTTGAAACATACGGTTTTCGAAACATTTGTGTGTAAAAATTTTGAGATCTTTATTAGATTTCAAATTTGCCGCTACAACTAAAACTACAAGTTAACAGAATTAAAAAAATGACGACAGCGGAAATAAAATGTTGTTTCTATTGGTAAAATCAGTGAATATATTAATATAGTTTTATTATTTGTTACATATTTGATCCCGTCACGCTAATATGAATTTTCACTTATTTTATTTTCAGCACCGATACAGAAAGAACAACGCGGCGAGTTGCCGTGGCCGCGCACTACTGATTAGTCTATAGAAATTCAACACTCCAATAATCGGCATTATGGCGTATCGCAAACCAAATGATTTGGATGGCTTCATTCAAATGATGCCCAAGGCGGATATGAGAGTTAAAGCTCTGCTTGCCGAAGATTTGGTCACATTCCTAAGTGATGAGACGAATTCAATTGTTTGCATGGATATGGGAATGCTTGTCGATGGCCTTATGCCTTGGCTCACCGGCAGTCATTTCAAAATTGCACAAAAATCGTTGGAAGCATTTTCAGAACTGATAAAAAGACTTGGACCTGATTTTAATGCTTACAGTGCAACTGTGCTGCCACATGTTATAGACCGTCTCGGCGACAGCAAGGATACCGTACGCGAGAAAGCACAATTGCTTTTACAAGTTGTTATGGAGTACAAAGTGTTGACCCCACAAGCCACCATCGACAAATTGGCGGCATCTTGCTTTAAGCATAAGAATTCTAAAGTTCGTGAGGAGTTTTTGCAAACTATTGTGAATACATTGAACGAATATGGCACCTCACAATTGAGTGTACGCACTTATATACAACCTATTAGTTCACTGCTGGGTGATCCTACAGCAACCGTACGCGATGCAGCTATACAAACTCTTGTAGAAATATACAAGCATGTAGGTGACCGTCTGCGCGCAGATCTACGAAAGATGGATGATGTTCCTGCGTCAAAATTAGCTTCGCTTGAGCAGAAATTCGATCAAATTAAAGCCGAGGGGCTCTTACTGAAGTCGGCATTGCAGACTACAGCGTCTGCCAATAACGGTCATGATGAGTCGGATAACGTAAGCGTACGAGATCGTCCAACAAAAATTGTTAAACGTACTGTGTCTGCGTCGATGCGAACAAAACCAAGTTCTTCGGATTCTAGTGCTGGTGGGGATGCTGGCGCTATAACTATGGATATATTTGAGTCTACATTCGAAGTTGTGCCACAATTAACTATTTTTCACCCAAAAGACATGGATGATATTTATCGAAATATTATTGTTGTGATTAGCGATAAAAATGCTGATTGGGAGAAGCGCATAGATTCGTTAAAGAAAGTTCGTTCACTACTAATGCTAAATATACAATCACAACCACAGTTTGTTGCGCAGCTAAAAGATCTTTCAATACCTTTCCTTGATATACTCAAGGAGGAGTTACGCTCTCAAGTCATACGTGAGGCGTGTATTACAATAGCCTACATGTCGAAAACACTACGTAACAAACTCGAGCCATTCTGCTTCGCTATCTTAGAGGCGCTTATTAATTTGATTCAGAACTCGGCTAAAGTTATTGCTTCTTCATCGATAATTGCTCTCAAGTATATTATAAAGTATTCCCATTCTCCGAAAATGATTAAACTCGTTACCGAAACATTGCAACAATCCAAATCCAAGGACATTCGTGCCACTTTGTGCGAAATGCTTTGCCTGATGTTCGATGAGTGGCAAACGAAAACGATGGAGCGCTGTTCACAACAACTACGTGATGTGCTCAAACGGTCAATAAGTGACGCAGATAACGAAGCACGGCGTCATTCTCGTCGTGCTTATTGGAAATTTCGACGACACTTTCCTGATCTTGCCGACCAAATATACACTACATTAGATATTGCAGCGCAACGGGCATTGGAACGGGAGCGTGATGGTGGCAATGTTACGATGGAAGTGGAACGTCGCTCTGCAGCTGCAACCACTCGATTTCAACGTTCGCCCGGTTCACTACAAAAGCCTGCGGCAGGAATGCGTAGCGTGTCGGCTGTGGATACTGCAGCTGCTCAACGTGCCAAAGCTCGCGCCCAATATTCGTTCTATCCGCGAAAAAAGTTAAGTACTGTTAATTCTGCTGCTGCGTCAGCCAATTCTGGAACAACAACTTCAGCTGCCACCGGTTCTTTACCGCGTCCACGGTATATGGGAGGTGGTGCAACGTCAACGTCGAACACAGGAGGGCAGCTAACTGCTGGCGTTTCTCCACGAACACGAGGTCGAGCTGGAGTATCACAGTCACAACCTGGTTCTCGTTCCACTTCACCAAGTTCCAAGCTGCGAGAACAATACGGCTATAGGCCAATAACTGGAACCATACCGAAAAAAGCTTCGGGCATACCTCGTTCATTGACCAGTTCACGCGAAACGAGTCCCACCCGTGTCGCCATGAAACGGAGTATTTATACCACAAATAGTTCGGCAAGCTCCGCCCGAAGAACACCTGATCGTAGCAATTCGCGTTCGCTAGCTGCAGCACGTATTTTACAACAAAGCCGTGAGGCTGAGACCGCGTTAGCCGATGCTCTTTCTCCAGAAGCAGAGAGAGTTATTGATTATGGCGAGTATTCGCGCGGGTATACAGCAGGTTTACGAATGGGTCGTAAATTGTTGTCGCGCGACGAGTCCGACGACTCCGAGGCATCGTCGGTGTGTTCGGAGCGGTCGTTTGATTCGTCAATGACGCGTGGCAATAATTCGAATTATTCGTTGTCAGGATCACGAAATAGATTGGATTGGAGTTGCACGCGCGCACCATTCGACGACATCGACACTATCATACAGTACTGCGCGTCGACGCATTGGTCGGATCGCAAGGATGGAGTTATCAGCTTAACTCAATACCTTGCCGATGGTAATCAGCTGACACCACAGCAACTACAGGCTGTCTTGGACATGTTCCGCAAATTATTCATGGATCCACATACAAAAGTGTATTCTCTATTTCTTGATGCAGTTACTGAGTTGATTCTTGCGCATGCCAACGACCTACAGGACTGGCTTTTCGTATTGCTGACGCGACTATTTAATAAACTTGGGACAGAACTACTCAACTCAATGCACATTAAAATCGGCAAGACATTACAAGTGGTACACGAATATTTTCCAACCGACCAACAGCTTAAAGATGTCTTCCGTATACTCGCCGACACGGCACAAACACCCTGCACCAAAACAAAGATAGCCATATTGAAATTCCTCACAGACTTAGCAACCAGTTACTGTAAGTCCACCGACTTTCCATCCGACGATGGACCATTAGCAGTTGATAAGGCTGTGCTGAAGATTGTTCAACAAGCTGGTGATCCCAAAAGCAAAGATCTACGTGATCAGGCGCGTAAGTGTCTCATTGCGCTATACAATCGCAACACACCACAGATGACTAAGTTGCTGTCTAGCCTTCCAAAGGGCTATCAAGACACCGCCAAGGCCATTATACAATCGCATTTGCGCCGCAACAGCACTTCTGGCACAAATTCGCCATCTTCACCTCATTCAAGTGCCAGTCCCAAACCATTGCAAAGTCCATCGCTTGGACCATTCTCTTCGCTACAGCCACAATACAATACCACCAGTCCACGCTCGCGACAATCCTCCGTGGACCATGAACTCTATTCGGAGGCAGATGTGCAGCATAATATACACAAAACATCGGAAGAAATCCGAAATTGTTTTGGTGTTGGTGTTGGCATAGAGGCAACATCCAATAATACCCGGCAATACCATTCGCTCTCCAATGCCAATGGCTACAATGGCTATTTGCATGATCAGCAAGATTCTTGCGCTTCTTCCAATTCAAAGACACAGTCCGCTACCACAACCGAATCGAACACTCCTGAAAGCACCACAATGCGTTTAGATGCCAACTTGTTGGAGCAACATCAACGTATGACCACGAATATAGTGCTAACAACAGCAACACCCAACGCTAACACAGCAGTCGTAGGTGGCACTGCAAATCACGCTTCGCGTTGTAATTACACCGTCGCATCGAACGGTGAGCTTTTGCTCGAAAATGGCTTAACTGAAAGCGAAATTATAAGGGCGGCATGTGCGTTGAAAGCCGATATGCCAGTGGAGCAGATTCAACAGGCTCTCGCCAATTTGGAAATTTGCATCAAAGGAGGAAATTGCGAGCTCCCTAACAAACATTTTCGTGCTATAATGAAAATGCTGCTAGGCCTGCTGGATTCGCAAACCGCCGATGTGATGATCGCCGTTATAAGTGTGCTCGGCAAAATCGTGCGTAGCACCAAAATGAAGGAAACCTGGATCAATTTCCTCGAGCTGATATTGCTGCGAATAATAAACTGTTATCAGCACAGTAAGGAAACCGCTCGAGAAATAGATTTAATCATACCGCGCATCGTATCGTCATTACCGCTGAACGCCACCATTAATATTGTAAATCCTGTTATTGCGACTAGTTGTTATCCGCTGAACTTGTGTGCTGTGAAATTACTCACTGAGTTGGCAGATCGTCACGGCGCCGAATTGACCGAATTACATTTAGACAGTATATTCCCGAATTTGGCACGTCTTACCGACGATGGTGAATCCATGGTGCGAAAGGCCGCCGTGTTTTGTATCGTAAAACTCTATATAGTGATGGGCGAAGAAAAGGTGAAGCCGAAACTGTCGGTGTTGAATCCAAGCAAAGTGCGTTTGCTAAACGTTTACATTGATAAACAGCGCAGCAACAGCGGAGGTGGCAGTTCAACGAAAAACTCATCAGCATCATCATCATGATTGCGTCGCACGTAGATGGCTACGCATGAAGTTGTGGATGCAGATCGACGGCAATTGCAGCAACAACGATACCAGCACCAATAAAAGGCAATAGATAAGACGCTACGCCACTGGGCCGTATGTTAAAGATTAGCCGTTGAGTGTGGGCGGTGTGTATGTGTGTGCGTGCGTACGTGTTGTATGTGTATTTGTTAAACAAAAAAACAATTTCTTTGTATAGGTAAAAGCATTAAATGCAATACTAGAACACAGAAGCAGCTTACAGCGTTGCCAAAGTGGAGCTTTAAGAATGGATATCAAAAATGTTTTGAAGATTTCCTTATATATTATACAAGATTCGATTTATTACAAATTTTTAGGCACATTGTATATTAGCATAATCGCGGTCACAAAAACAAACAATCAAAGCAAAGTTAATTCCGCAACTAATTGGCAGGTAAAAATCTTTGATTGATATTGCCTAAAAAATAATAAATATAGACCATGCTTAGCAGTTATTCTACAAATCAGTTCAGCTCCACTTTGGTTTAAGCGTGACAGCGTATGATAGAACCAACTGCTTGGTGAGTTTGCATTAGAAATCTAAACATGCATTTGCATACTTTTGCTTCTAACAAAATTAAAACAAAAATTGCATAAAAACAGACATGTAAATTGGTAAAGAAAACACATTTAATTACTAGATAACTGCATAATTGTAATTCGTTAGTTATAACCAATGTAAACAATAATTAATACGAATGGGTAAAAACTAGCTCATACTCATTTCTCGCACATTCTTTCCTGAACTTTTTGTAAACATTGCCACACTTTCCAGTACATGAGAGATTGTCTAGCTCCCTTTGTTGCATTTAAATTTGAACGCATAAAAATAAAAATATTATAATTTTGTATTGTACACCTTAAAATATACATACATACATATATCTGTTTATCTATATAATTTTCTCACCTACTTACCCAGGCGTGTCACTCTATTTTTTAATGTGTATTCTAAACATTTTAGTTTTATGTATTTACGTTCTCATTGTAATTCTTTTGTATATTTTGCGTGTATTTTTTTTGTTACCAAGACTTTTTAATTACTTGTCTTTCATGTAATTATAAGCCTAATGATTTACTCACAAACGATATTTCGAAATTTTACACAAACAAAAATATTGATGTTAAATACAATACATAAAATATATAAAAAAAAGAACGATAATACTTTTAATTTTTAATTGCGATAATCCTACAGCTAAGTTATACATATATACTAGTATAATAATATTTTTTCTCAAAGTTCATAGGTGTAACACAGGGCCTCAAGATATACTATAATAAAATATGCAGTAATTCCTTAGAACTGGACATTTTTCCATATATATTTACATATGTATATTTTCTTTTAAACCAGACCTTTTCTTGAGAGTACTATCTGTGTTTTAGATTTCTCTAGCTGCAGTTGGCAATGTAGGCAAGCATGAAATGGATTGCTATGTGGATTTGCTGACAAAATCATTTACTTCAGTCTGTTTTTGTTAAATGTATTTTCCCTTTGCTGCATTTTATTTAATATTTTTTGTAATTTAATTTAATAATTTTTGTGTATTTAAATATATAAAAGTACATTTCTAAGACAATTGACAGACGTGTTTAAAAATACATTACTTCGGTAAAAATATAATAATACCATGTAATAAAAATGTAACCAAAAAAATTTTATGAAACATAGCTGAAAATTAAGCAGTAATAGGTAATACAAGTTATTATTAATATACATATAAAATTATAAATATAAAAAACTACATATACACATACATATTTAAATTTCGTTACACACTTTATATTGATATTTGTGAAATTTAATCGAAAGATGGAAGAATTAAAGCTAAATAGTATGCAATACGTTAATACATTTAATAAATAATAACAAAATATACATATATGTATGTATGTATGAAAAATACAAAAGCTCTAGTGGAAGTGGCAGAACCTATAACCAAATTAACTATACGCCAACGCTCCATGCGTTGAAGGAAGATAGCGCGCATTTTAATGTAATTCAAAAATATTTATAACAATCTAATAGAATTGCAGATATATAAGACATGGAACGAAAAAATTCAATAAATCACTATTAATTAACATGCGTAATAAACAAATATTTAGACTAGCTTAGTTTTTCAAAATAATTGAAAATTTAATAAACAAAAATATTTAAAAACAATTTTGCCAACTGATTTTTTGTTTTTTTTTTTTGGTTTCACATTATTGTCGCCGTCTATACACAATTCTAGGAAGATGTTGGTTGAACAGCCGCTGTGACAGAAATTTTCTTTAACCCATTTTTTGGCAAATTAAATTGTACTTTTTAATAAATACCTAGAAGCATAAAAGTTCACATATCCGACAAGTTGTTGGTGTTGATATGTAGAAATTAGCCGCGCATCATCTTACATATAAATATCCAGTTAGGTAACCCAATCTAGTTCACATTAAAGTTTTAATAATTTGTGCTATTACATCAAAATTGACTCGAACTTGTAAAACCCGATGCTATATTTCATTCTGACGCATCGTATTCTTTAAAACCAACCATTTTGCCATAGGTAATATGAATATCACGCTATTTAAGGTCAACTTTAATTTATTGAGAGCGTTTTCAAAAGGAACTTAAATCTATGTACGTACAAAGATGAGGAAATGATTTTTATTTAATGTTTTTACATATACAATAATAAAAACAAATAATGCAAGTCTACTCACATTTTGAACATTTTATATGAATTTTACAAATAATTACTAAATGTTTATTGTGTATCAATACTCTAACTGAAACAATATCTTGATTGGAAAACTAAAATCTCCATCATTCGTGCTCCTGTATATAGGTCCTAGGTATACGTTTCTGTAATGAGCTCAGTGTAGCAACATCCTTGTGGTTAAGTTGATAACACACTTATATTTGACTTTAATATTTTTGATTTTTCGAATTTCTTTTTAAGTTAATTTGAACAGCACAAGACATTTAGGAAAACCGCTGTAAATATATAAGGGTGTGTATGCATAGATTTCGCATCCCCAACATTTATTCTAACATCTGCTGTTTTTTAATTTATCTTGTACATTTTTTGTATTATCTAACTCTTTTCCACTTCCAATCAAAAGTGCTTCAATTTGTTCAAGAAAATTGTTAGTTTACGGTTTCAACGCACAATCAATCCAAATCATTGGTACTAACGCCCGTATAGATAGGCTCTTCCACCGTTTTTTCCAGCTTATCATCATCTGATTCACTTTTACTTTTAACATCCCCTGCTTCTTTGTTTCCTGAATCGGATTCCTTCTCTGATTCGCCAATTTCAGCATCTCCCGCATTTGGCACCCATAGGCCAGAATCTACGCAACGTTTCATATGGTATTTGGCTTCCTCAACAGGCATTTCGGCTATGGTCTTTTGTAATAATTCAATATCGCGCGATTCAAAACATTTTTGCAGGCTCTAAACAAAAATTAATCTCAATACAATTCTGTTTAATTACTTTTATTACAATTATTGTTTACTTACTTCTGGTAGTGTTTCAAAGACTTCTGCAGGATCCAGTCCACCAGGTCCAAGTCGCGCTGCCTTCTCTTCCTCCTCGGCTTCTGCTAAAGCTTCCTTGATTTTTTCTTGCGCTCGTTTTGTTATACGATCTTTAAAACCTTTAATTTCATTTTCGAACTGTTCCTTGTACTCTGGCACACAATTCTGAATTTTCGAGAAGAATGAACTAACACAGGCACGTGGATCAACATCTAATTGTTTCGCAAGCTCTAATATGTATTGCATACAAATGCACTGATGCGCCACATGCGCCATAAGCTCGTGCTTTTCTTCCATTTCTAAATTTATGGACCAAATGACTAGGTAATTTGCTGTCTCCTCACAAACAAGATCAAGATGTTGCTGCAGGAAACGTTTGGAATCGTCATATTTGCGAAGCATACCATATTGCTTACACAATTTCTCGTTTTCTTTCACAAATTTCTTCATTCTTGCCTCTTTCTCTTCTTCTGTGAGATTCTCATCAGGTTTCCTAACAGCCTGTTTATTCAAAACAGTTTTTTCAAACCCAGGTTTGCTGATTGTGTCAACATTCCAGGGCGCCTTCTTCTCTTTGTTGATCAGTTCATCCTCTTGCCGATCGATTTCTTTTCCCTCCTTCTCAATTTTTTCCAACTCTTTCTAAAAGGTGCCAAACATGATTATTTCTATGTTTTATTACAGAATAAAACTATAAATGGTTTACCTTAAGTTCCGCTTCGTCACCTTCCTTCTTTTGTATGCGTTCTTTGACATCCATCAAACGTGCCTTATATGACTGCTTCTTCTTTTTGAACTCGTCTTTTTCACGTTCCATATCAGCCATGCGCTCGACACGGGCCTGATGACGCCAACGGAACAGCGAAGGAGTGTCGATGTTGGGATGTGTGTCATCCTCATCATCTGAAATCTGTTCGGAATATTTGGCACATTAATACGCAATAATAGTATGCAGTTTTTGCAATGATTTTGTGCACTCTACTTACTTCAATATTTTTCCATTTACTGTAGTCTACCATAGTTGAACTTTAGTGATTTTTCTAACTTCTATAACTAAATTTTTCGGAAACAAAAACTTTGTAGGAAATTTTCAATTTTTCCTCTACCGCTGAATTTACTAGAATTTTCTTTTGACATTTATGCTAAAATTTTGAATGCAAGTCAAAAGAAAATAACGAATGACAGTTTAGTAATATGGGTATTTTTAGAAGGCATCAGAGGAATCGTGGATGTCACATTCTCACCACAGGGTGGGACATGTTTAGATGAGTTCATGAGAGATAAGTTTAAAATATATCACTCGACTGTAAATTATTTATGATTAATAATTATTATTTTATTCTTATAAACAATTATAATCTCTATTAAGTTATTTTCGTATTGTGAAATATTTTCGTAATATAACCAATAATTGAAGTAAAATGCATATCATTGTTATCAAAGGAGATAGAGGGTTCTTCACGCTTAAAGATGCTTAGCAAGGCGAATGAATTATATGAGAAACGTTTTTTTCCTGAGGAATACACTGAAAGCTTTGGTCTATCGGGTCGATAAAAATATTTCTGCTGTAATTCCGGATTTACCTTCGGCCGGTATTTGAACCAATACAAATGTAATGTCTCCCAATAAGTTTTTATTTTACCATAGAATTTTTAATAAAACTTCCGGGAGGGTGCTTTTAAATAAAACTAAATGACATAGACTAATTTAGTTGAAATGTGTACCTATTTTGACCATTTAGGAAAGCTTGTAGGTATGTAGTAAGTATGTGCATACAATCAGCTGCACTACCCTCGATATACATATGTACATATATGTATGTATATGTATAGTTCAATTAGGATGTGCGTTTGTATGTAATTCTGGGTTAAGGTCAAGCTGCTGCACGCCAAGAAATTTTCAATGTCCTTTCTGCAACGACTTCGCGTTACCGCTTTTCGCGGGCTATGAAATTTATACTCTGTTGACATATAACGAGTCAAATGTAAATAAAAGTATAAAATACAAATATCAACACTAATAAAAGTTATAAATTTTTAATGTTCACTTGACCGCCTCTTTCAGTCGTCAAGCTTGTTAATGTCAGACAACAATGAACAAGGACATAGTACGATTTTGGTGATTACTCGGAAAGGTTTAAGATTTTTAGTACTACTCCCGAACTTAAGCTTAAATTAACTAAAAATAAATTAAAAAAAAAATGTTTAACAGTTATAATCGTCGTAAAAAGCATGATACCGTTTTCTTAAATGTCAAGCCCACTTTTAACAGTCAGGGTAACGGTCTACGGAAATACTCAACTGGTTTGCTTGATAAGGAGGATAATCCGTTTTACGAAGTGAACAGTAGCAGCGGTAGTCGAGCATCGGTCGGAACTATAACCACATTGAATGAAAATTTTCGAGCAGTAAGTGCAGCTAAATTATTTGAAGAATAGGAAATGAAGCTAAAAAAATCGTCCTGAGATGCATGGGATATCTTATCCATATATTTTATTGTTATGTAATACCAAATCCAACATAACCTCACTTATTATACTCTTGCAACATTTTGCTACGGAGTATAATAGTTTTGTTCACCTAACGATTGTTTGTATCACCTAAAGCTAATCGAGATAGATAGAGGATTATATATTATATATAAAAATGATCAGGATGACGAGACGAGACGAGACGAAATCCAGTTGACTGTCTGTCCGTGCAAGCGATAACTTGAGTAAAAATTGAGATATCTTTATGAAACTTGGTACACATATTCCCTGGAATCCAGGCCATTAATTGAAAACTATTAAAGTGC